TTTTTATTGTTCTTCACATCTGGATTATTCTTTTTTTAGATTTTTTTTTTTGATATTTATATATATTTGATGATGTAATTTTTGTCATTGGTACATATTTTAATAAAATTATGATATTTTATCCAAAAAATATATATATGTATATATATACACGCACGCGCACACATAAAATATGCTTTATAGCAAGCAAAACACTCGCTATCTAACTTCGGAGAACCGTACTTGGAAGCGACTGGAAGCGCACTACTGTGTGAGTGTGTGACCACTTTGGTTACCCAGAATGGATCAGTCGATTTAAACGCTCCGTTTGGCAAGAAATTGATGTGTGAAAGATAACTGGCAGGGAGTAGGACGAACTTTTAGGTATAAGAAAATTATGTCCCGTTGAGCTACATTGACATGTCTTCTTGCTTACAATTATAAACCTACAGATTCAGCCGCAAGCAACCACTGTCACTTGCAGCATAAAATACACAGCTGGAAATGAACCAAATCTTTCCTTATTTCCACTCCATGGTTAGACCTGGGCATTACAAGTCATATTTTTCAAATTAGCCATACCAAAAACTTGTCATTCAGAAAGCTATTGTGATTGAGGAAAAGATAGAGAAGAAGGATAATAGGGGTAGAAAAAGAATGCTTTGCTTACCAGTTATGTAAATATTGCACTGCCCTTCTTAAGTGCCTATGTGGATCCATTTCCTCGGTCGCCTTCGCAGGTTGAACGACTCTTCGACAATCAGTACAAACCATCTTGGTTTTCCAGTCAAGAATACGAGACCTCCCATAACTAATCCGAGCGCTAATCCACAACCATATCCCAGGAGAACAGCTTTCCAAGTGAACCCATCAAAGAATTCAGAATCATCATATTGTTGTTCAGCTTCCCATGGCGTGGCTGGTGGTGGTGCCTCTGTATCTCCACAATCTTTGGCCAGCGGAAATCCACACAAGTCCAAATTCCCTCTGTATGAATCATCTCCAAATGTATCAAAGTGCCTTCCTCGTGGAATGGGTCCGACTAGACGTTTTCCGAAAGGTTTAAGAATTCAAGAAAACCCAGATTCACTAGCTCCCTAGGAATGGTTCCTTCAAGTCGGTTCCATGAGAGGTCCAAAGATTCAAGCATACTCAAATCCCCTAATGCCTTAGGAATTGGGCCACTGAAGTTGTTATGAGAGAGAGTTAGTGTTTGAAGAGAATGAAGGGATCCAATAATCTCGGGAATTTGTCAATCGAATCTGTTGCTTGAGAAGTCAATTACTGTTCGAGTTATTAGGACTCTTTCAAGACTATACTCCACCCCTTTGATAACCAAACTCACAGAATGGAAGTAATAATGTCCTTTTCCGATAAGAATTGCAGCCCTTCCCATATACTCAACTCCCTTTTCGTCATGCTTTGAACTTTTCATAGCTGTGAAGTTGTTGAGGATTTCCTTAGGTAGAACACCAGTGAGCTCGTTGTGGGATGCATCAATAATTCTCAACAGCGGAAATGGACTTTTCGTCTGACAATTGCCAATTGCTCCGTGAAATCGATTAGATCTCAATATTAGGACCTCTAGATTAGAAAGAATTTCCAACCAAACTGGAAATTTATCACCTATCTTGTTGTTCCCTAAATCAAGGAGTTCCAGATGTTCACAGTGTGCTAAAGATCGTGGCACTGGCCCTTGCAATTGGTTGTCATTCAGCATAAGAAACCGCAGAGAGTTGCCTTTTGAAAATGTTCTGGGAATGGTGCCAAAAAGCCTATTATTTCCCAAATCCATAGTGTCGAGATACTGGCTGGAGTTTCCCAAGCATTGAGGAATTGGGCCAGACTGTAACGACCCCACCTCCCCCTAAGGCGTACCAAAGGGTTCGGCGGGCCGCCTGCCCAACTCTCGCCAGGACTCACTCACTATGGAACTCGAATCATGTATATACATCCATAGACAATAGATGCTCAAGTAAAAGATAAGAAACTTCTACACACCAGAAGTCTTCAAAGTTTTTACCATTCAAGTACAAACATCGATTATACCAGGGTTCTCATTCCTCATACAACCAGCCCGTGCCAAGCACTAGGGCGAGAACCATTACAAAAGAAACAAAAGACCTAGACTAGGCTAGTCTATGCTCTCATCCTGCTCGCCGTCCCCTGTTAAGGAAAACAAAACTAAAGGGGTGAGCTAAAAGCTCAGTGAGGTTCCAAACAGATAATCAAACAATCAAACAATCAATTCAATACATTAAACATGGAGTATCAATAATTCAAGAAACATTTACAATGGAAAGCAATAGTAACATTCATTAAAAGGATACGGCTCACAAGGAGCAATTCGTTCATTCGTTCATTCGTTCTCCTGACATTTCCCCTTATTCCTCCAATCATTTGAAAATACATTTTTCGTTTATCAATAAACCCTCGTTCGTTCGTTCGTTCGTTCATTCATTCATTCACCCCCGTCCTGGCCGTTGGCCAGTCTCCACCAACCTACAGGGTAATACTCGAGTATACCAAACGTTCACCCAAGTCCCTAATCGCCCGACCGAGTCTGCTTCTGGCTCGAGACGACCGGTAACAAAGGGCAATGGCCAGTTCAGCCCAAAAGGCTTACATTCATGCGCAAGTAACATTTCAATCATTAAATCCTTGAAAATTGCACAGTTATTTAGGTCGAGTGCGATAAAGTACACACTCGCCTAGAAAGCTCGTTTTGGAAATCATTAAAAGCAATTAACACATTAGCAAATGATAACAACAAGCCATAAAGTCAAATAAGGAACACTCACCTAGAAATGCAAAATATCCTTCCGGATATTACCCTTAATCACCAATGAAACCTAAGGTTGAACAAGAGAACATTATTATAGTTTATCGAGCAAAACATTTAAGGGAAACAAAGAAACCCGACTAATTAAGAGTAAAACGTGTAAAGATGACTTTCAAGTAAGAAGAGGGTTGTTTGAACCCAAGGATGAAAAATCATGTTTTAAAATGGAAAACCGATCATGGTATTGGCCTAACAAAGTATACAAGTTCAAATAGAAACCTAGCCCTCGGGCGAAAATTTGGGCAGCATGCCCTTTGTGTTTACCTAATTTTCCAGCCATTTTGGCTTCATTATTTTTCCTCAATCAAACCAAGGTTACCCACAACACAAATTCATTTCAATAGCCATTCCATAGGCTCAAAACAATACAAGTATAGAAATCGAGCTAATAACAAATGCGGAAATGAAACTTAACAAAAGACAGATTTGACGGGTTTTGCGTAACGGACACATCCGACGCTACGCTTATCGGATTGGAATGTAATTTATACCGTTTCGAAGCTAAGACAGAGGGCTACAATTTTGATGAAGACCACTTAGTCCAAATTCCAGTGTAACCTAGTCAAATTCCCAATTCGCAGAACCAAGTTCCAACTAATCGGCTAATTAACCGTACTACCTTTAAATGGCCATATCACAGGCTACCAAAGTCCGTTTAAGGCGTTCTTAGAGGCTTTGAAAAGCTAAGAAAAAGACCTACAACTTTCATGAAGACCACTCAGTCCAGTTCTCATCCTAACTAGGTCAAATTTACCAAAAAATCTCCAGATTTTCCAGTTTGAAATTCACTGCAGAAATCAACTAGCAGTCCTGCTTTATTCACTCATATCTCAGCACACACAACTCCAATTCAGGTAATTCCAAAGCCATTAGAAAGCTAAGACACAAGGCTATAAGTCTTAAGAAGACATCAACAACCAAATCAGTAGTATTCCTGGTCAAAACATCCAATTACAGAAGCTGATTATCAGTTTCGGATAAATACAGGGAAGTAGGGGTATTTTGGTCTTTTCACAGGCTACGTTGCTCCGATTGAGCTGAAATTTTACAGACAACTATAAAACATCATTCCCTACAACTTTCATGTTTTGGACTAAGGCCAAATCAGCTCCCAACATGTTCGAATTTTCAGACTAATTTCGGACAGAAATCTTGACAGAAAAGGAACACTTGAAGTTCATTTAAATTCCACCCAATCAAACGAATTTCCAGCCGTTCAAATCAGTTCCTAGCTAGTTAGATTCAACTTCCAATCATCAATCATATGTTTTACCACAAGAATCAAGAGTTAGGAAATTGGTTTACCTCAAATCCTTAATCATACCCCCTAGCTGGCCGATTCTTTGAGGAGATGTATCCTTGAGCTCCAACTCTCCAACAAAGTTCCCTTGGTTGGTTGCAAGCAAGGTTGGATGAATTGATTTTTTCTTTTTTTTTTCTTCTTCTCCTAGCTCACCCGATGCTGCCTTTCTTCTTCTCCAAGCTCACGGTAGCTTGTTCTTGGTGTTGGCTTTGTTTGTTTTGTCTTATGTCCTCCTAACTTAATAGCTAAGTCTAATAATAGTAAAGCAAAACAAGAGATGGGTCATGGGCTTGGGTAATTAATGGGTTTATGGCTTAGGCTTCTAATGAAATTAAAACTTAAAGGCCCAACACTAAAACTCTACTTGATCCAATGTAATTAACCCATTAGTTTACTTAGTTTAATTAAAACTAACTTAAGCCCACCAATCCAAGGTACTAATCACTCAAACCCCCGTACTAAACATGCATGGATGCACATACAATCACGAAAATATTAATTGGTTGAATTTAATTTAAACTTAACGGTTTAGTTTTGAAAGTAGGATTTTAATGATTCAATTAAATTTTTCACTTTTGGTATGTAAAATACTCTGTGAAAATTAAAACACATGGTAAAATATATTTTTCACACAATAGCTACTATAAATATCCATATTTAATTTATTTGAGACAATTTGGAATCCAGGATCTCACATCCATAATGCACCTCAAATTTAACATGTACGCACTTATACTAAAACAAATGATTTAAAAACGATACTCACTTATAAAATCTCTGAAAATTAAATAATTAATTGATTGAAAGCAAGGAAAATACACGCGGAAAAATAAAATAGAATAAAATAAAATAAAACAAGGAAAAATTTTCGGGTCCTCACACAGACAAATTGTTATTTGACAAATCAAGAACCCAAAGATGACTTGCGTTACAGATAGAAGGAGGCATTTGGCCCTGAAGTGAGTTGGAACTCACATCTAGAGACACCAGACGTGAAGTGACAGGTAGTTGGTCTATGGTACCAGTCAAAAAGTTATGTGAAAGGTTCAAGTAGAGCAACTGATCCAAAGTCTTAGACATGAACCAGATTGGAATTTTGCTGCGAATCATGTTATTTGAGAGGTCCAGAACTTCTAAACTCTCTGAATTTCTAAGAAACTCTGAAAATTCCTTTATTTGGCAAGAAGACAATCCCAAGGACCCAAAATCTGGATAGGAAATGCTCACATTGTTTGTAGTGTTCCGTGGTGCCTCTCTGTTAAACGCGTTGTTTTGAAGCTTATTGGAGTCCACAAACAAGTCTTGCCCAACCCCCGTAAAAAGGTTAAATGAAAGGTCAAGGTAAGATAGGGTTGGAATGGTAAAAATTGACGGAGGAATTGAACCGCTTAGTTGATTACCGTAGAGATCTAACTGTTCAAGATGCATAAGGTTGAGAAGTGAGTTCGGAATGTTCCCGGACAATAAATTGTTACTAAGTAACAGCCTACTTATCTTTTGTGAAATGGAAAATTTATCTGGAATTTTACCTCGAAGATCGTTAAAATCCAGAGATAATTCAGTAAGCTGTGTAAGGTTGCCAATTGATTCAGGAATGGCACCAGAAATTTGACAATAACTTAGATCTAAAGAATTTAAGGACCCTATGCACCCAATTAAATCTGGCAACGCAACGGAGAAATTTGTATGCGATAGGCTCAACTGCCTCAGAGAATTTGAAATGCTGCAGTTCAATTGTGGTAAACTAACAATAAGATTCTCGCTGCCACCTAACAAGAGAACTCGCATATTTGGCAGATGAAAAACATTACTCGGTAGATTACCTCTTACTCTAGTATCTCTAAGGTCTAGATACGTCAAAGATGAAGAAAAATTCACCCTCAACTCCGATGAGATGTCCACTCTTGAAAGTGACAGCTCTCTTAAATGGGTTAAGTTTTGAAGCATCGCTTCAAAATTGCTAGGTTCATATCTTAGAAACTCATTGTGGGAGAGATCAAGTGAAACTAGATTAGATAGGTGTGATATTTCTAAAGCAACTTCACTTTCGAATTTTGAATATGAGAGATTGAGGTGGGTCAAATTTTTTAGCGAGGCAAACCAGTTTGAAATCCGTGAACCGATGAAATTGTTGAAAGCAAGGTTGAGGCGGCAGAGATGAGAAAGATGAAAAAGGGTAGTGTTTGGATGGATAACTCCTTGAAGCTGGCCGCAACTCAGATCCAGCCCAATTACACGACCGGTGAGGTTGTGGCATATCACGCCGTCCCAATTGCAACAATCTGTATCTGCTTTCCAATGTGTTGTCTTTGGATATGAATGCTGACCCGATTCACCACAATATGGAGAAGCATAAGTTGATACGCTAAACATTTCTTTGAATTGAAGCAGTGCAACAGCATCATCATGACGGCACAAATGATCTCCCAAGAAAGTGAAACTGATCACTTCTTCAGGTTGCAATATAAAGGAGAAAAGTAGAGCACTGAAAAACGTTTTTTGTCTCTTCATTCTTGCTTGATAAATTTATGATCAGCATAACGGTTTCTATAAAGGTGTGGAGGAGGTCTTATTTAAAGAAAGTTGTAAGAGGTTTTTCTTATAGGTAGAGCCAGGTGATAGTTGAAGTACGTGAAAAAAGAATCCAAAGCTTGAAAAGTAAAATTTAACTTTTAATTTTGATTCTACCGTCTATTATTACATGTGCAACAACGTATGCAAATGATGAGCAACAAATTGCATCACTTTTTAAACCCAACTAGTTGATGAAATGCCGCAATTATCTAGTCAAATTGGTACAAAGATAGTAACAAATACATTTTTTGGATGCCACCATTTTTTTTCTACAAGGTATATGATTTCATGTTTTCAGTTTATTTCAAAAATAGGATTTAGGTTCGTAAACAACTTGAGTTAAACAAAATGCATTGGGGTCAATTCACGCTTGTAAGCACAAATACAATGTTCCTGTTTCCTGATGCCACATATAAATCTCGAGAACAATATTGTCTAATTTTCTTCAACATTGTCATGCCATCATCAAGTCAGTGAAGAACGTATTCTTATTTTATTTTGGGAGTTAAAAATAAATTCTGCTCAAGCTGTTCGTTTGGCGAAGGCTGGATTTATTGATCATGAAAATGCTTCAAAGTCACTTATCAAACATTTACCTCGACCTTCCTTAAAAAAGAAGAAAAAGCAAAGACATTTACCTACGCCTAAGGACGACCTGTATCAAACCTCTAATCGCTTTTATAGGAAAGGTATTTCTATTTGATGCCCCAAACGTACAGAATAATAACAGATGGAGCTAATTAATTTAGTCAACAAAAGTTTAAAATTTCTATACAAAAATAATAAGGGGATAGTGTGATAAAATGCGACAACTGTAGGAGGTTAAAATAGTAATTTAGTGTTTTTTGTCTTTTTTTGGTTAAACAAAATTTTTGTATCATGGTCACTATGTATTGGAAGGAATATCCATTGGAGAAAGAAGATTTTAGGAATTAAAATTCAGAGGAAGACTACAGTTCGTCAAAATTCTTTTTGTGCCCACAACTATGACTACGCGTCCAGTTCATCATAGACCTGACATTTCACGTTTTCTCCGGTCAAAAAACAATTAAGGTTTCCCCAGGACGTACTAATTTGTAGCCCACCACCCGAACAAGATAAGAGCAGTGCATGAATTAGAGCTGTATAAGTTTGAATAACCTTAAGTAAAATCTTCTTGTTTGAAGATTTTAGGGTGAATTCTCAAAGGGGCCTCTCTTCTTTAACCTTCGATCCACAGAACAGAGCTCTAGTGTGAATAACTATAAGGCTGTTGACTTCAACGCACGTTTAAAAAAATATGAAGTGGAATATGCATGTCCTCCCATACTGAAAAATTATACTGCCTCTGCCAATGCCGGTCCATGAAAAATATGCATGTAACTATTGCAATGAAGTGGAATAAACTAATTATTTAAGCTTTACAATTAACATCAGCGCTACAATAAGCAGTTGATATGGTGTCTGATAGACCTCGAGCATCAGCCATTTCTGAGATAATTTCTAAACATGTTTCTCAATTACCTTTTTGTCTCAAATATGTCATTAGCATAAAACTTATTATAGTAATAAAATTTTCCAAAGAGTAAAATTTTACAGACTAGTAATGGAGCACGTGAATATGATGCTTTTAGATTTTGTTCCTTTAAAATTTTTAGAAAATCAATTATTTTGAAGGAATAAATGTGATTGAGACAAAATAATATATGATATTTAATATTTATATTATTTTATATTTTTTCTGAACTTAGTTTGCCCCAACCAATACAAATGCACAAGCAATAAATCATTCTTTGTTCCAAGAGCACTTTTATTTTGTAACAATATCAATATTTTTGTTTTTTAATTAAATTTAGATGACCTAAATTTTTTTATGCCATTTGAGTTTGAATAATTTGTTGCTCCCCTTTAAATCATTCTATGAATTGTTTATTAGTTTTAGTGAGATTTTCTAATAATTATTTTTTTTTTGCTAAAGGTGGATTGTAAAATGATATATAGTGCTATTATAACAGTATCTAAATATATTGAAATTCCATTGTTCAAATTTAAATAGCTTAACTTTGAAGAGAAATATTTTGATTTGGTGAAACTTGTTTGTATTTCTTACTAATGATATGTTTTATGATTATAGAGTTTATATGATTAAAAATTGCAAGATGTTGAGATTATTTATTAGATAATAGTCAAACTCAACTTGGATATATTTTTATTCACCTTTCAAGTACTCATTGAAATTGATATTTTATAAAAAAATATTTCTTGGTTTAATTCACGATAACTCAAAGGGATGTTTCAACTTTTTAATTATTATTATGATTGGCATTGATGAATATAATATTCATTAATTGTAGTTTAATAATGTTAGCTATTATAAGAATATGATTGATAAAGTTCATTAGATTTAATCTTTATTGCAATCTAAATAAATAAATTCCCAACATAAAACTCTTTGCCTACCTTGGCACTCCATTTTCAATTATATTTTGTATTAACCTTTTTTTTTTAACTGAATACTAATATATGCATATTAAAAAAGGTACTCTTAAGGTTTAATTCACTTGTATCCAAAAAATAAAAGATTCATGGTACTTTTTAAGAGATTCATCGTACCAATTTGTTATGTTTTGTTTCATGTTTGAAGTACTTTTTAACTTGGATTTTGTAAATAAAATTTGTTCTTCTTTCTTTTGGTAAATAAAAAAGTAAGGAATCTTTCATTTTGTAACTGCTAGCATGTTTGATATTATTTATTAATGATAAAATGAAAGCAATTTGTCCATTTATTAGAGAGGAATGTAATTTTGGCATCACAAAAACTAACATCATTATTTGCTTATACTATTAACCACTAAGATTCACCATAATTTTTATAATTTATAAATAAAATTTGTTCTTCTTTTTTCGATTTAATTCACTATAACTCAAGAGAATGTTTTTCATTCTTGTAATTGTTGGCATAATTGATGTTAATTATTGATGAAAGGCAATGAATTGGTTATTTTTGTTCTGGTTTAATTCACCAAAATCACAATAATACAAGGAATGTTTATTTGTAACCATTAGCATAATTCTTATTAATTATTATTAAGGAAATGCAATGTAATCCATCCATTTATTAGTGTAAAGGAGAATATAGGTATCATAAAAACTATGATTAGTTTTTCCTTACACCCGTATTAAAGACTTATCATGCTTTTTATATAGTAATACTTGGGGGGAAAAGCCCACGCAACGTGTGGGAGTTTAGTGCCTAAAATTAAAGATGGTTAATAATTATTATTTGGCATTTTCTAGTATAAGAATTGAAGTATGACAATTTTATTATGTGATATTAAATTAAAAAAATCATAAGTTACATATTGAGTTAAAAAATACAATATGCAATAAAACATAATTATAAGATACGATCAACTACTTTGCATCTAACCTAGTATAATAAAAGACCTATTAACATTTGTTATTTAGTTTGGATTTGATCTTGCTATGAGGGCAATCCACCACATTATCTTGTCATATAAGTGAGATTTGAACAATTAGCATACTTGAAGAAATCATTGCTAGTAGGATTTCGGTTCTTGCAAGCCAAATTCTTGAATTTATATTGATTCCAATGACATATATCATTACGAGGCCTTCACATTGAGCAAGCAATTAATTATAATTTATTGTATGATTTAGGATATAGCAAAGTATCTCTTTCTCGATAGGGGTTACAATCACGAAATATCAGTTTTGTGTTAGTTGCAAAGATATACAACAACTAACATGCTAATTTAGAGGAATAATTACCTCAAAAAAGTACTAAAGCATCTTAATCCACTCAATTTAAGAAAAACAATTAAAAGTAATGAGGTACATACTTTAGATTTGTAGCCAAATAGTTTTAAGTAGATAGTTAAACATATTGGCAAATCAGATGAAGTGAAAAATTGTCTTAATGGAATAGTCAATAAAGTAGCAAACGATTTGAAAATTACCCTAACTAATAGTTAAAACAACAAAAGAAGTAGATGCAATTTATAGATGGGAAAATTTATGATGATAAACTTATTTTAAACCATAAATAACAATTAACAAATGTGGTCTCTTCCTTATTAAGCTTGTCTAACATGGGCAATTAAATTAAAATACTAAAAATTATTGCACATACAACTTGCAAAATTACAAATTTTTTACAACAAAAAGTAGATTAGTTAAAGAAAACATACCTATTGAAAAAGGTGTTGGAAGAAGAGTAACTAATGTAACAACATCCGAATTCAATATGCTGCATGACTGTGGCGGAACAAAACCTATAAGCAAATGAAATGAATTTGAATGGATGGGGGTTACTATGATAACGGCCAAGAAACCAGACTTCTCTACTAATTGACATTAATTGTGTCTTAACATCTATATATCATAACTTTGCAAATAACTGATGAAAAAGGCTTTAAGAAATTAAAAGACTTAGATGTTAATATAATTAAATGATTAGAAGGGCTTTTATGTAATTTCACTAAAATACAAGCTGAATTCAGTTGTACCCAATGTTTAATCGGATATCAAACAATGTCACATATCAAACTTACCCCAAGCTTTAAGTGTTTAAAAGGACATCCAAGTAATTACAACAAAACTAAATTAGTTATAAAGACTCATATTTAATACTCTAATTGCACTTCAAAAACTCTCACATTTCTAAAAAAAGCCCCATTCTTGCTGTTGAAATTCAAGGCCTAGACTCATTCTTATATAATATAAGGATAAGGAATCAAATTCTGCAAACACAGCTAATGCTCTCTCGTCTTCAGGTCTAATCAAGAAAAAGACTGCTTTCACTTTCTACGAAGTTTGGTGAAGACTGGACCTTCAGATCATGAAGATTCCTCTCAAGTCATCCATCGTGTTCTTTTAAAAAAGGATTGGCATGATTCACGAAAAGTCACTCCACTAATTTCTGTTCACAGCCATCG